ATATAGGATCATAGACTTAATACATGTATCCTTTATTTTGTTATTTCTTTTGCTACTATGATTCGTTCTCTATTGAATTCAAAGTATACTCGAAGCAAATGAAACTTCCCTTCGACGTCAACAACAACAAAATAATAGTTATATAGCAAAAAAACAGAAATGCTAATGTGACAAGTTTTTTTCTTTCGAGAAGTAGATTGGAATATTTAATATGTATATAATAATAGCAGACATTTAAAAAAAATAATCCGATGAAAGTTCTGTGCTTGCTTTTTTTTGCACGTATAGCATCCATAATCTGTTCATTGAATCATCTATGAATGCCTATGCACGTCGCACGATTTAGTCAGTTTCTATCTATTACGACTGATTGGCATTAAGGGGCAAGCCACTTTCCGGCTCACGCCTCTTTCGTCCTTTTTCGTCTTTCGGAAAAAAGAAAAGAAGAAGAAAAAACTAGTCACATAGACTATATGTCTGTTGAAGGGCTCATAGGAATAGAAAAGTATATTCGCATACATTCACGTCGTTAACAAACAATAGAATACTATTTGATTACACTTGTAAATGTCGATGCAAAGACGGCATGCAACAAAGCAATCTGTTGTTGTTGCTGTTGTTGTTGTTGTTCTTTAAACAGAAAAAAAAGAAAGATATGAATGATTTTTGTATAAGGACAAGAACAGAAAAGATGAGCATTTGTCTCTGTTGAACAAAAACTAGAGACAAAAAAAGAAAGACACAAATGAATTTAATTTGATATGTATGCGATAATGAATTTATGTATTTTATTTTCCATAACTTATTAAATAAATATAAAAATATTCAAATAAGTATATATGCGTGATTATCTCCGATCGATCAAAGAAACAAGTCGATCGATATTAACTATTCGAAACAAAAAAAAAATTATTTAGAAGAAAAATAATTTAATTGATCGAATATTCATTTAAACAATATTAATCTCATGAAAAAAATATCAAAGAAATTTTATTTGAAATTTCTAAAATTGCACATAGATGTATATTTTTTTTTCTGTAAAGAATCAATTCATCTTTCCTTCCAACGTGAAAATGTTTGCCGAGCTCGATTATCCATTATCCAATCCTCATGGATCATCTCATCATTTATCTCGTGTTTTAACTGGTGTATCTTCGCCTGATATTCAACAATATTCATATTTTTCTCCAAATCTTAATTGGCGTTATTATTCACTTGATTTTTTTCTTAATAATTTTAATATAATGCCTAATAACGATTCAACATTTCTTAATTCAACTTTAACAAATTATTCATCAAATTCCCAAGAAAAATTATCATCTGATGATGAAGCACCCGATCATCTTCTTTATCTTATTATTCCGCTTTATTCACTTGTTTTTGTTATTGGCACAATTGGAAATATTTTAGTTATATTAACTGTCTTTACAGTTAAACAAATGCGTAATACAACAAATGCACTTATATTACATTTAGCTATTGCAAACCTATCATTTGTACTTATGTGTATACCACATACAATATATGTATATGTTGTTCATTCATATTATTTTCCAAGACTTTTATGTAAATTAGCAAATACATTAATGTATTTAAGTGCGTATGTTAGTATTTATATCCTTGTATTAATGTCAATTGATCGATTTCTTGGTGTTGTTTTTGCTGTTAAATCAGTTAAATATCGAACGGAACGGAATGCACATTTAGCTGTCATTATTGTTTGGTTAATCGGTATTATTTTTGCTTCACCTAACATGTAAGCAATTTTTTAAGACTTTTTAAGTACAGAAGGAAATCTTTTCGTCTAATCAATTTGTTTTTCATTTGAATTTAAAATTATACGTATTTTTTTTTTTCAAAGGATCTATTATGATGTATTACTTGTTGATTCAAATGCTGATGTTTGGGTATGTTTATTTCGTGGTGATAGTCCTTTTTTAAATACAGCTCGTCGTGTAACAGCTTATTTTTTTGCTTTATTTGGTCTAATTGTTCCATTAATTGTAATCGCTATACTTTATGGTCTTATTATAAATGTTTTACGTAAAAATTCTAAAGGTAAACAAGTAGCAAAAGGTAAAAAACGTGTTACAAAAATGGTTTCAGCAGTTATATCATCATTTGTTATATGTTGGACACCAATGCAAATATATCTATTATATACACATCATAATCAAGTAACAATATTATTTGCTATTGTTGCTCAAAGTCTTGTTTATATATCTTCATGTGTTAATCCAATATTATATGCATTTTTATCTGAACCATTTCGTAAAACATTTAAACAATTTTTAACATGTTCAAATGTATTATCAAATCATTTAACTACACAAAATAGTAATGAAACAGGTACCACAACAAAAACATATTGTGTTGTACAACGACAACGGCAACGACAAACAAACAAATCATTGCAATTAAAACCAAATATAAATAATCATCATCGCATAAAAACTGAGAATAATTCAATAACAACATCATCCGAACCAGTTAAATATGATCTTGTATCCAATACATATACGACTAGTTTAAATTAAAACACAGACAAGAAACTATGTTTTCTGTGGTGCTTTAATATCTTATTGTCAATTTTTTCGTTCTTTTTCTTTGTTTAAAGTCAATATAAATAAAGAAGTATTGTGTATTGTAAATATGCTTATCCGATAATAGAGAAAATCGATTGTTAAATTTACAGATATAATTATATATTGAAAATTCTTGATTTTCATTTTTTTTCAAGTATGTGTGTACATGCGTATGAATCAGTACAGAAGTTGTTTCATAAGAACTTTTGGCACTATTTTAAATTTAGAATATGCTAAATGACATGGGCTACTTGATAAAACATGCCACTTCATTGAGAACATTGAATGGGATATGATACTTCATCATCTGTAGTGTGAATCGAAGCATCATGAGTTGATTTAATCATTTTTGTGTACCCGCGTCAAATGATTCCATTATAGGTCTTGCTTGCCATTCCGACAAAATCATATAAAAGTTGACTGCATGATGTTTTCATGACTATACAAGATCGTATGAAAATTGTGTGTCATCTTGTATGATTTTATAGGCTTGATCTTACAGTTATTCATTCAGATTAATCCATCGAGTGGAAAGATCTTAAAAGATCGTACCTCTGCTTGTGTCTAATCTTACAAGATCAGACGGGAATCATACGAAACATCGTGGTGTCTCTGAACCTACATCAAGTCTTTATATACAACTCTTGCAAGACCATATTAACTTATGGTGCGAAAGACTTGGCACAAAATTTACAACAAAATAAATTCATTTTGCTGTAGATTTTGTGTCAAAACTTTTGGACCATCAATAATCGGTACGATCTTGAAAGAATCGTGCATCAAGACTTGATCCAAGTTTTGCAGACACCACGATTTCTTGGTCGATTTCCGTCTGATAATACAAGATCATATTAGATCAGAGGTGCGATCTTATCATCTGATTGTTTGACCTGGGATGATGATTTTTCGTACGAAACATCAATGAGTGTAAATTATGATATATAAATATTCTAACAGCTTCAGCTTTCACATGTATCCTATATTAATATTATTCTATGACAGCTGACGAAACTCTGTCGTACTTTCGCAAATGGTGAAATTCTGGAATCCTATCTGAGTAGAGATTATTTTAGTTCATAAGAATATGAACAATAAAATTATTCGTTAGGTATAGCGTGATTTTTTGACTTCTATTTCTTTTTATTGATTATTAAGGCTAATAATTAGCTAAACTTGCTATTTCTAATTATATTAACTTTCGGTTATACATTCTTGTTTCGATAAATGCATGAAATTTGTTGATACAGCTTAACTCAATATGCTTTCTGTGTTGCTAAATATACTGCTTTGATTTGATCCATATCAATGCGATGATAGAACTTGAGGATCTCATCTAAATTAAAGTCTATACCAAAACTACAAATGATCAATCTTTATACTATTATAAATGTCTTGACAGCAATATTAGAATATGATGTTAGATGGCGTCAGCTTTCAGGTATTATCTTTTTCTTCCTATCATCGTTGTGACATCATCATACATATGTATTCCATCTATATCTTCTTTCGTTCTGCTGTCATGCTTGAATAGGTATATGTTCTCTGTTCTAGAAGGTTCCAGTGTATTCATTTTCTCCCTCTATTCATCTTGTATGTTCTCACTAATACTCTCATGTGAGTTCTGGAATTCCTAGTACCTTCCACGACATTCCTTTTGGTCCGAACCCATGTATATATATACCCCGCCGCTCGCATCAATAAAATTGATTGTACATACACGTTAAAATAAAATTCTCTAACTACAAGTGGTTAATGGTTAACTACCTTTTCACAATGACTAGAGATAAAGTCATACAGGCGGCATAAATGAAACTTCAATAGAATAAGCAATATTTATTGCTGTCAACACTATAGAAATGAAAGTATTTTAGTTCATTCACTTATATACAAACACCTCGCTTGCAATGACATTTTGTTTAACAAAATACTCTTACTTCTTTACATGAACATGTTTTGTAGTACAGTTGACTTAACAATCGCATGTGCAACTGATTGTTGAATCCAATTCAAACATTACTATTTTTGCTAGATTATGACGCATACATCTATATTTACAACGCTTGTCGATACAACCGCTATGATTTAAATTTTCTTTTCTTTCATTCTACTCCACTTTTATCAAAACAAGTGAGTCCATGAGTTTATCTCTAGTCGGATTCTAGTTTTGTCTAAGCAAAAACTAAGTTCGAATTCCAATTTTCCCGCAAAATATGCATAGCATAAAATTTTTCTAAAATAATCTCTTCAGTTGATCTCAATGATCCAAAAATTGTCTTTGTTGACAATATCAATAAACATTGAGTGAATCTAGTTAAATTTTATTCATATTGATTATGACTCTTGTTAAAACTTCTAATAAAAAAATATTCAATAACTATGTATATGTTTCTAAAACATAATGTTCATCACATGGATTTATTGTCGGATACATTGAGTTTTGCTAGTGAGTTCAGCTGGACAAGATACTTGTTTGAAACTCATTGTTGGATTATCAGCACCCATAAACCAATCAAATCGCCAATAACAACCTGTTTGAAGAACAGCTGGTAAACCAGAACAATTTGATCTTTGACTAACACCACCATATGTTTGACCCCATGAATATGAACCAGGAAATTGCCTTGAGCATCCATCGAATAGACCAACTCCACCACCAGGCATTTGAAGATCAAAATGATTATTACCAAGATCACCACCTGTATTTGTTACTTGAACTATTAATTCTTTACCAACAACGGGTCCCGATGTAAATATCAATGAATAACAAGCACAACACCAATCTGCTTCACTTTGGCCCTAAGAATAAAACAATATTACATTCATATTTTCTTAATTTCAATAAATGAACGCAATGTTTTTATTTTCTTACAGCAATATGAGCAGCAGCAAAACCATATGAAAGAGTTGAACTAACATTCCATGGTTGCTGATTAACACACATATAAGCTGAACCACCATTACAACCTGATTGAGTATTAGGATCAGTAATAGTTGTAGTACCATCTTGTGCACATGTTCTAACTGGACTTGTCACAGAAGCTTTACCTGACCATGCACAACTTGCTTTACAACAATCCCAATACCGAGTAGTAACACCGGCTTGACGACTTGTATCTACAGACAATGTTGCTGTACCAATGGTACTACTTGAAGCAGATGAAGAACCAGATGATGTTCCTGATTGTAAACATTGAGAATAATATTGATTCGTAACGACACATATCGATTGAGAACAACATGTTGGACCAGTCCATCCAATACCACCACATTGTCCCCACAAAGCACTGCAACCTACTGTAAAAATAAAAACAATAGAGAAAACTAAGAAAAAAGAACAATCAATGGAAGATTTTGCTCATATAAATATAAACATTATTTATTTTGTTGATGAAATATACACAATTTAATAATTTTATTTTTACTGATGTCTATTATTTTAAGAATCATGTGTGAGCTAGCTAATGTACGAATAAGCTATATGATAAACTGCTCTCGAAATATTCTGCATTTCATACAGTAGATGTCCATGAAGTAAACCAAATCTGATATACGTACGATTGGCTGAACTACTAGAGCTTGATGATGATGGTGGTTGTGTTGGTCCTTGCAAGCATTGTGAGTACCAATCATTACTATACGTGCATACGTATGGTGCGCAACAAGTTGTTGGACCAGTCCATCCAATACCAGCACATTGTCCCCACAAAGCACTGCAACCTTCTATAAACACAAACAAAGAAATTTAAGAGAAAACATCAATCAATGAAAGCGTTCGCTCCTATAAACACATCATAATTTATTGTGTTGATGAAATATGAGCGATTTAATAGTTTTTTTTTACTACGATCTATCATTCTAACAATTATATCTGAGTTAGCTACTATTTGAATAAGCTATGTGATGATAAACTCTGGTCTTCTGAATATTCAACATTTCATGAAGCAGCTGTCCATGAAATAAACGAAACTTGATATACTTACGATTGGCTGAACTACTAGAGCTTGATCCTTGCAAGCATTGTGAGTACCAATCATTACTATACGTGCATACGTATGGTGCACAACAAGTTGTTGGGCCAGTCCATCCAATACCACCACACTGATCCCATTGAGCTGCACATGGAGCTATACAAATGATTAAAAAAGCAACAAAAATTATAAATCGTTTGTGTGAAAAATTCCTCTTACTTGTCTTTGGTAGATTTGACAATCCAATCAACAAAATCAAAATAAATTGCAACATTATTTATGGCCTCTAAAATATTTACATAGACAATAATTTACACTATTTTACATTTAACGAACATTTTTACTTTGAATTATGAGCTTGAAACGTCAATTTTTCTTCTAATATACTTATCATTTGTTTTCTCTCCATTTATAGCTGCTTGTATTGAGTACAGTCATTTGGACATTGCATTGTTGTTTGCTATGTACTTTTATGTCCTTTTTTTCTCAAGTACAGCATATTGCGCTGTTAGATTTTTGATGAGTAACATAGAATAATGCAAAGAAAATGATCATACTTGTTTTCAATATTTTGACTCGTCAACATAATTATGTTTACCTTGTTTTCGTACAATGTTCGCTAGATTATATCTACATAAACGAAAATGAAAGTACATACTGGATGAGTCAACATGCGTGATCGACGTGATTCGTGTTCATACAGACAATATTTTTTCGTTACTCAAGGACATGAGTGATATGCTTTAGGTATGCTCGCATAAGTATGCAGTGGAGCAAGTTAATGATAATATTAATAAAAAAACAAACTGATCAAAGATTGAAACATATCACAATCATCAAAATATAACTATCAAAAAAAAAAGTAAAATGAGTAATAAGTATACTAATGTTGCAGATTTGATTTTTAAAAAAGCTTGTTCATTATCATATGAACATTTGAAGTCTTTTACTTACAATTCTGATATGAACTAGCTAAACAGAGAATATAATTAACTTATGAATTCTAAACTTCAGTTCATGATCATGAATTTTAATCTATTTATATGTTTTTTTTTTGGCGAGACATGTTATGATTCATCATAGATGTAACGTAATAAGACACTATTTATCTATTTCAAAGTACTAAATAGAAAATAACAGAATAAACATTGATTAATTTGTTTATAACTGATTATTGTTATTCAAAAACAAAATTGTATAGGATTTAAAGCGTCATAGTGTTGTTCACAAACATTCAAATATTCATTTATTATTATAAAATATATTCATCTATCAATCAATGGTATTTTTTTAATCATATTTGCTTGTTTTTCCTCTCTTCTACACACGTGTATAATCCGTTTTTTTGTCTTATGCGATGCATACGAAAATCCATCGAACTTAACCATATGAATTTCACCTCTCTTTCTTCATTGCACTTTGCTGAAATTTCATCTTTTAAGGTTCGTCTTGCGATGCACTACGATGATGATAAGTCCAAAGTCTGTTCTCTCCTTGTTTGTTATGAAATATAAAGGTGAAAAAAATAAAGTACCATGTCTCCAGGTTGGTACTTCATTTCACCTTTGCTTTTTTCCTGTATCAAGTAAATTTGACAAAGAACATTATATTAATCATGTATGCCATTGTCATATATGTTACCTATACATGTCATTTGCATGTTCATTTCCACTATGATACATGTAAATAAATAAAACCAATGAGATTTTTTAAATACAAGTTTGATTTATTACACTAAAAGAGACTACCTTCATCAATTCTTTTGATTGATATTGAATGATAGGCCCTTATTTATGATAATCAGTAAGAAATTCGGATAACGTATTGAAGATTATGAACATGAAATATATAGATGATGTACAATGAATATAGATATAATTATTCGATAATCATCGTCCGAACAAAAACAAGTCTCAAACTATATTTCTAATAACAAAAGACTGAAAATAGACAGATTGAAGTAGAACAATCCGTTTGTTTTATTTTGATTGATTCACATATATCTTTTGCTATTCAATTGAAGTTGATTTGTACAGCAAAAAAATTCAATATCTCTCTAATGTTGTGAAGCACTATCTAAAAGTAATGTTAAAATATATACAGTGCGAAATTTACATTCGACAGATCGTCACAGATGCGTTAGAGATAGCTCGTCACAGGCATGATAAAAACTCGTAAAAACATCTCTTCTTCAGGAGACATCGTCACAGACGTCATTAATATAATACAATCAGCGATCGTTTACGAATAATGCGTGATGATAATATCTAAGCGACTTGTTTTTTTTGTATTTCTAAAGGATTAAGTAAAAGGATCGAGAAGAAATAAGCTCTAAAATAGATAGAATAAAGTAATCTTGTTGAGATTGCCAAGCATAACTGCATCAAGTTTCATATTTTAATTTCATGCGAACTGTCTTAACAGCTTTTCTATTTCTATTCAAAATTAATATAGTAAAGCAGTCACTTAGACCAGTAAAAATACTGTAATATACTAACAATTTTACTACAAATTTTTCATTGCTAAGATCGAATATTCTCTATAATGAAAATAAATCATCTATTTATTTATCATGGAAAATTCAAATAATCGAATAAACTTTTTCTATTTACAAGGAAAAACAAATCATTTTATAGTGCGTTGATGATTTTTTTTTTGGATATACAATTCTAACTGAATATCAAAAAATTCATTGGTTTTAATAGATTATCTTCTTATAAGTTATCTATTGTAAAAGCAATTACATGAATAGTTGTTAGGTTTGTCGTCAAAGTATTGATAAATAATATTATTCTTCGTTTAGTAACAACTAAAACGTGTTGATAACAAATTAGATTCGTTATATTCTTTTTACTATAATAAACAGAAATAAAACTTGAAGTGATAATATACATATAAAATAGGTTCGAGTATTACTATGGATAGAGAAAATAATAATCAATGTTGTGGCTCAGTGAGAAGTCTATATTCGGTGTTAGTAGAAATACTATCCAATGTAACATGTAAAATACAGTGAACTAAAATATTTGATGTAAAACTGTTTTGTTTTAAACTAAAACTTCGTTGAAAAGAACCTGCAGTGAAATTTTGTTTTTGCTTTGGTGTTTTATGAATTCTATGACATTTCTCAATGTGTGTATTTTAGAATATGAGTCTTGAAAACGTATTTTTCAAAAGAAGATTATCAAATGACTAATTATATCGAACATTGTTACAAAAACCATGATGGCTACTGTAAACAATCAACTCTTTCATTCGCATAGACATAATCTAAAATCATTTTTGTCTTCTTTGTCTTGGTCTCCATAACAATGTAACAGAAGAAAGTTAGCAAACACAAAAAAAACGTCGTTGAATTGCTAAATATTCTACGACGTTGAATAATGAATATAAGTATCATCAATACATATTATATTTTTTCTCATGAAGGTCGACTTATTCTCGTTACTAGTGATCAATGTAGTCAACAATTATATAGTTCCTCCCATTCATTAATGGCAACAATTATCATCAATTTATATTTATGATATGGATAAACAATCAAATGAAGAATGGATCATATACAACATAAAATTGTAACATTGTTTTTAGTTAGTTTCTTTTGTTAATGATTTTTGTATTTTGATCGATTTGATGGTCTAAATGATGAAATTAACTGCAATCAGATTAGTTGAATGAAAGTGCAAGAACTATTGCTAATAAATGTTTTATAGAATGACTTACTATCGATATGAATGAATAACTGTACTCTACAGTTACTTTGTTTATTCTTGTTTAACAATTGATATTGTTCTGAGAATAAAATCTATTCGAGAAGACAAACTAAAATTTATAAATCTCTCTTAGATTGAAATTTATCTGTACATTAGCGAAAAAAGGAGAAACGAAGTTTCAAGAACAGAAAATATTGAAATACTATTTTTGTTTTGTTTTATTTGATTGATAATATCTACGAACCACTGAAGCACAATTGATATCAATTTTCACTGGACGAGTACTATGAATAAGCGATGTCATAGAAATATTTTAATGTACTTCGACAATCGATTCATGAATTTATTTCTATCAACTACGATTAATTGTTATAAAACAATAAACTATTTCAAGTGTTAAAACGTTTCTAATGATCTTCATTGAGTATGGTTTGTAATTTATGATAATCTACCAGAAGTAATAACTAAATCCTTTGCTCATATTAGTTTAATGCATGAATTCAATGAAGTATCTTTCATGATTGCAAATATATTTCATTTGATTAATCCTTATCAGTCGAGATAAGAGAGCTTTGTCCCTTTCCTGCTGACTAAAAACTCCTGGCGTCAAAAAAATCATTAGATCGATACGAAAGTCTTAATTCTAGTTTGAGAAATTTGTAGTATTGAATTGTTGAGATTAATAATGCCAAATATTTAAGAATTAAAACAAAACAATATTATACTTACTAACTAAAATATTTAATCTCAAAAATGAAAAAGTGAAGCTTTCTCAACAAAGATGTAAAAATTTTCGTATCTACCTGATGATTGAATAGTTCCGGTTTCAAGAAGTTTATAAAAAGTCACTTCAGGTTCAGCTCTCTGTTTCAGATATTTGGAAATGCCGGATTCTTCTTACGATAAATGAAGAAAAAAGAGTCTACAAGTAGTGATAAGGAAGTTGACTTGTGCTTTTTTGGTGCTGCATTTTATGATATGGATCAATATGTTCTAGTCAGAATGATATATCATCGTTTATTTGAAGGAGTTCTATCGAATAATCTTGTTCTTTTTATCGATCATTTGGTATGATAACTGAAGAAAAAGTTGAGTATAACCCTAGTCTACAATAGTGTCATAAATCATTGCAAACTCTAATGAAAATCAATCTATCTAACCATGTTAATAATGGTAGTATATTTTGTGTCATAGAAATGATTCGATTGTTACTACATAGTTATAGAATTCAATCGACGAACACATGACAATAATCATCTGAATATAGCTTTATCTTTTATTAAAATTTCTTTCTGAGACAAGAAGTTTGGAAAAACAAATTTTGGAAGAATCAGATTTCTATGAGAAAATATTGAAAATTAATAATTATCGAACTCATAAATAAATATGTTGATCATGAAAATAGAAAAAACATTGGTTATTTTCGTTTCAAAATGATACAATATTGACACAACATTTTTATTTATGCGATTAGACTCAATGAGTTTGCATCCATTTAAGAATGAAACGGATACTTTTTCAGTGATGCAAAGAAGACAATAAACAATATGAAAAGAGAACT